TAAGCGATCTCAGGCATTTATCCTTTAAAGTACCATTTGTTAACAATCAAACATCATGGAAGAAACTAATGTCAATTCCATTTCAGACTTGTCACTTCATTCCTTTCTCCACCACCTCCTTTTGCTGACAGATAAAGTGCCATAATGCAGAATCACCAGCTTTAGCCTTGAGCAAATTATCCTCATTTCTCAACATGTATTTCTTAGTAAGAACCTCTGCCCATAAACCTTAGTTTCCTCTTAACAGTTGCCAAGCTAATTTAGCCCCACAAGCATGATTAATAGCTTCCAGTTTTTTAAAACCTAAACCATCATACTGTTTTGGAAAGGTAATTCTCTCCCAACTTATGGGATGGTAGTACGATTAGTATCACTCCCTCCCCATATGAAGTTTCTTTGTAATCTCTCTACCTCCTTGCAGATACTAATAGGCAATCTAGAAACTTGTATTGGGTACAATGGCATAAGTGAAGTACCAATTTTGCCAGAGTGATTTGGCCAGCAGTTGATAGACAAGTGGTTTTCCATGTTAATAGTTTGGACTTAACCTGATCGACTATATAATGGAATTTCTCAATTGTTCTTTGAATGTTAGTGATAGGGAACCCAAGATATCTTCCAATCTCCCCATTAATTTTCATTCCAGTGACCCTCTTGATTTGTGACTTGATATCGGCCTTAACATTTAGAGATAGGAAAATTGAGGATTTACTGATACTTATCCTTTCTCCTGATGCCATATAGAATTTATTTACACACTACATCATAATTATTGCTTGCTTCTCCAATGGTTCACCAAATAAAAGAATATCATCTGCAAACTTTAAGTGGGAGATGGATAGGCCTGACTTAGTAATATGAATTGGTTTCCATTCACTTATGTTAACCACATCTAAGATCACGCAGGACAGTCTATCAATACATAACACAAATAGATACGGAGAGCAAGGATCTCCCGGTCGAAGACCTCGTCGCGGAGGGAAATAGTCAGTTTGAACACCATTCCACAAGATATTATAAGAAACTAGGGAAATATAATTCATCACCAGGTTTATGAATGCCAAATCCAATCTAGTATCAATTAGGACTTGCTTTAGGAAATCCCAGCTGATCCGATCATATACTTTCTCTAAATCAATCTTAATCGCCATAAAGCCTTTTCTTCTTTTCCTGGCCTTCTTCATAATATGCACTGCCTCTTGTCCAATAACTAAGTTGTCTTGAATATGTCTGCCAGGAACAAAGCTTGATTGAAATGGGGAAATCCAGTCGTCCATTAGGTTTCTCAAGTGATTCACTAAGATCTTGGCGACACATTTATAATGAGTTGAACATAAGGAGATAGGTCTAAAATGAGTAACCATTTCAGGATTTTCCCGCTTTAGAATTAATGAGATTAAAGTTCTATTAGCTTCTGCTAATGATTTGCTTCCACTAAATACCTCCTTCACAAACTTGCAAATTGTTGTCCCTACGGTACTTCAATTTGCTTGATAAAATATGAGGGCATATCCATCATATCCTGGTGCTTTGTAAGCCCCTATAGAGAACATTGCTTTTTAATCTCCTCCTCTGTTGGTTCTATCGCAAGTCCTTCCAGTCTTCCCTATTCAAGATGAGGAAATGACATGTTTGTAAGTAGCAGCTTTGTATCCTGTCCCTCTTCTTGATATAACAACTTGAAATAATTAGTAACCCAACACCTTAGTGCTTCTTCATCTTGAATCCATTCATCACTATCATCTTTTAGAGTTACTACCCTGTTCCTCCTTCCCCTCATTATTATCTTAAGATGGTAATAGCGGGTATTTCTATCACCATTCTTAATCCACTCCGTCCTTACCTTATGGAACCATTTAATTTCTTTAAGTTTAGCAAGTCATCTAGATCTTTCTGTAAATTCCTTTCCAAATTTAATAGAAAGGTAGAGTGAGGGTATGCTCTAGACTTCTGAATTCCTTTTAATCTGGCTAATAGTTCATTCTTCTTAAATTTCACATATCCAAAGACCTCTTTATTCCAATGTAGCACAGAAGCTTTAAATTTGAGGAGTTTTAAATCCAGATCAAATTCTCCATTCCAATTTTCCTTAAGGAAATTTTAGAAATTATCATGATTAAGCCACATTGCTTCAAATTTGAAAGGTTTTAACCCCAAGCAAGAGAACCAAACGCTGTTCAACTTAATCAAAATAGGATTATGATCAGAGTAATTAGTTCTTACAAGTACCTGAACCATCGAATTGGGAAAGGATGACAAGTAAGAGCTATTCACCAATGCTCGATCCAATCTTTCATGCAATCAAGAGAATCCACGAGTCTGAGGACCCCTCCAAGTAAATTTAGGACCAGATGATCTCAAGTCAGTCAAAAAACAGTTGTTTATTCATTGTTGAAACCAACAAAAATGGTTATAATTACCACCTACACCTCCCACACATTCATTTGCCGAAAGAATGTCATTAAAGTCACCGCACACTATCCACAGATCAGTTATGAAAGGGACAAGATTGCTTAATTTCGCCCACAGTACCTCTTTGAAATTGGAGTGAGGAATTGCATAAACTACTGTACAGAGGAGATCATGATTCCCGCTCGAGCTATATCTCATACAAATAAATTGCCTATCTTCTTGAAAGATTGTGACAGAAACAAGTTGACTTTGCCAAACTGTAACAATACCACCAGATCGACCAATGCTAGAATTATTTTTAAGGAGTCAAAACTAAGAGAACAAATACACCAAAATATGGATTCTTCTTAGAATCTCGTCTCTGCCAGTACAAGAATAGTGGGCTTAGGGCCGTTAATCATAGCCTTCAGATTTCTAATGAGACCCTTTCCACAGGCCCCATGATTATTCCAGTAAATAACATTAATCATTGTAAATTAATATTAAATATTATACACTTAAAGCCCAGAACATCATTGTTGGGTTGAAAATTGTGTTTTAGCGACCACAGTACCTTCAAGCTGAGTCTGCATGGTATAGTCATCCAACATTGGGCTATCCACCAGCCCAAAACTACTACTCTCTTCGGGGTCTACTTCTTCAATTCTTATATCTCTTACATTCCCAGTTAATAGGTTGCAAGAAGAGAACTCTGGGCTTGTGTTGTTTTGGGCCTTCATATGCTCATTGTGAGACCATTGGCATGAGTACTATCTTCCCACGTTAGCATTAAAACTTCATCACTTTTTGCATATTCTCTCACCATATCTCACGTCCTTTTCTCAACTTGATGCCTGGTTGTCTCTTGTCGTACAATCTCATTATACGCTTGTTGAGCTATTTTCTGCTGAACCAATTGTTACACCTACTGTTGCACACTTTCCTACTACTTTTGTTCATCCACCATTTTAATCACGACAGCATTGTGCTCTGCAATTTTATCCCAATCGATATCCTGCTCTGTATTAGCAAACTCCCTTTTTATTCTTCTCTTGTCTTGCTTTAATTAGTCGTCCCACCCTGTTTGTATGTAGTTCCTGCATGGGAAGTGCTGTGCCATCATCACCTTATCCCTGCGTCTTACCGTCTTCGGTGAGGACTCCAAAATGAGATCTTGAATGGTCTCGACGGAGGTCTCAGGACCCTTATTCTTCTCTATTCTTTGACGCCTTTGCTTTTGAACCACTATCCATTGGTCTGGATTAGTTACCTCCTTTTGCTTCGCATTCTCAAGAACTTGTTTAGCTGTGGCATGTGTTTGCTCTGTTTTTTTATCTCGAGCATTCTAAGATTGTTTTGAAGGACAGATTTCATGTCGATGGCCATAAATCCCACAGTTTGTGCATAGCATATGTAAACCTTCATATTCTAAGTAATAATCTTCCTTATCTAACTTGAATCCAGCCATTAATTGTTTGCCTAAATAAACTAGGACACAGATTCTAACGAAGTGTCCTCTGAGTTGACAAGATGTATGAATGTCCACTTTGATTGTTTGCCCAATTCTATTGCCAATGAGTGTAAGCACTTCCTCATCGTAATATTCTAGAAAAACCTTTGGCACTTTAACCCAGCAAGTTCCTTTATCAATGGTGGCATGTTGAGGTTTGAAGTTGGCCTCCTGTGGATGGACAGTGAGGTAATGATCATAGAGCATCTATGGACCACTAGTCAAGGCACTAAAATAATCGTTTTTATTGGATAACTTTGCAACAAAGTATCCATATCCAATATTGATGAGTTTTATCACTCATTTCTTTGCCCAGAGAAACTAAAGCTGAGACTCAAGAGCCTTGAATCCAATCTGCCTGTCTAAAAGTTTGACAATCACAGCCTTCCTCCATGCTTTGTACAGCCTCCTCTTCATTCTCATGGAAAAAACAAATGTAGGGAAGTTGTGGTCAGGGTCTTCTATAATTGAGAATTCTGGTTCAATGGGAGCAGCCTTTTCTTTACTAGCCTCTGCTTCGCTAGAAGGGTTGCCATCTTTAAATTCTTCTTCTTCATCTAAGGAGTCATTATCCTTAGAAGTGCCTTTAAGTTTCTCCACAAATGTTGGTTTGCCATAAGAGCTTATTGGTACCTTGTCTCCCAGTTTTGGCCAATGTCCTTGCAGTTGATTCATACTCTATTCACCATTTGCATTCTTAATCTATTTGGAGCTTCGAGCTAGTTGATCATTTTCTTCATCAGATAGAGTATGGTGTTGCATGGAGACGTTCATTTTTCATACTTATTTGGCTATATTTTTGCAAATTGTTAACTCAGAGTCAGAACAAAGTTAATGGGCATGCTCTTCATTTTTTTTTTAAAAAAACTGAGCTACTTTAGAACAAATATGGGCCTACCAGTGGCCCACACTTGAAGGCCCAATACTACTGAAATAACCCACATTACATGCAACGAGGACGGGGAGTGGACAGCTCCTTTGCGAGAAAAAAGATATTATGGAAGGCTAGGCGGTAACTGATGCCACCTTCCCCCTTCTCTCTCCCTCGGCTCTGAGCATATACTTCTTTCTCAGGTTCTGATTCCCTTCCAATCTCTCACTTGCTTTACCATTTTATCCTCTTTCCTAGGGTTTCTTTGCTCTTCATTCATTTCTATTTTCTTTCTGCCATTTCTTCTCCGTTATTTCTTACTTCTTGGTCAAGCTTGTGTGGGCTCGATACAACAATTTTTCACATTTTTCTGTCCGACGCAAGTAGGCGCTGGACTAAAGTTTTATTTTTATTTTTAATTTCATTCTCCCGCTTTCCGTTGTGGAATTTGCTTCTGGAATCGTGTTAATTTTCGTTATGTTTGTTTTCGCATGGACGCATACCTTTGAATTGTGCCATTTCCACTAACTCTGGTGCCATGGCGTCATACTGAGAACAACTGCGACTTATTTTAATGCTGCACTCTGAACTTTATGTCTTTGTTTTTACGTCCATGAGATTTTCCAAGGCATTTCTTTGATTACTGTGGTTGTCCTGTGTATCGCAGCAGCGTGCTGCTGCTGTTTCTTCTTTTTTAAATTCTTGGTGGCTATTCGTGTCTCCTAGTGTGGCCTTGTTTGGTTCGTTTTGTTGATTTTGTTATGAGTATGTAGACGAGTGCACATGAAGTTCTGACATCCCTAAGTACTGAAGTGATTGTTAATTATTATTTTTGCTCACTCTTGTTATTTCTCGAAACTATCAGAGTATATAGGCATAATTTTTTTTTTTTTTGTACTTGGAATATTACGGCTGTTGCCTGTTGGTTTATAATTTTAATCTCTATTTGTGCTCCTCTTCATCTGGAATTCCGCACAACATCGGTGTCTTGACACCGAGTGTTAGCTTCTTGGCTAATCAAATCCGATGTCAAGAAGGGTCATGATACTCATTGTTTCTTGTCTGAGCTTATCAAAGTTGCAGCAGTCCGTTTCATTTAATCTATGTGATTTATCACAATTATACCTCTCATCAACAACTAGTGCAGTGTTTAGTGAAATGTTATTATTAGACTATATATATAAGAATTTGGTTGCTTATACTGTCATGTTTTTGTAATTCACTTGTTCTTAAATTCTGTAAAGTTGAGTGGTCATGTGCTACTGATACTAATTCTTCTTGTTACTTTGGGACTGTCAGAGCGATTAGACATAAACAGTTAAAATTTTAATGTTTGCAATTTTAGTATTGTGTATTGGATTCATGTATCTTTTCTATGCGTGATCAAGAGTAATTGAGATGGTTCTGCTAGATTACCAACAATATAAGTTTGCCGACAAGAGTTCTAAATGCAGTAATTCTGGCATACCGTTAAATATCGTGATATTTGCCCTAATTATCTCAATGCTTGTGGACACTCCGCCAAGTGCTAACTATATTTTACTGTTGTGCAGCAGTCATGGCAGATGACACACATGCTGGTCTTGCAGCAATCATGGCAAGTGAAAAACATAGTGATATTACGGAGGGCAGTGAAGAAGTTAGTGTTTACACCTTCATATTTATTTTATACAATGCTTTTTCTGCTAGGTGTTTCCCTGATTGGCATGAGGACATATAAAGAAGTTTTAAATCATGCTCTAGCGGTTGATATTTCTCATGTTGCCTTGGATACCTAGTCATGAGCGATGTTGATTGGTTGTTATTCTACTTTATTGAAACAATGACACGTTCTGTTGACTGTAATTCTAAATTACAGATACCTCCGTCTGATCCCTTGTTTAAGAAGAAAAAGAACATTTTGATGCAAGATCCTGATGGTGGTTGCTCCAATGAGGGGCTCCAACTGCAGAATCATGCAGCTAACTCTTCTGAGGTGTGTAAAACAAGGCAGAAACCCCGACAAAAGCTCGTCAGAATTATAGTCACTGACCCTGATGCTACTGATACTGACTCTTGCACCAGCGAAGATGTTGAAAAACCTATAACGCCACGAGGAGGGGAGAGGCAAGTAACACAGATCTGCATTGACATTCCCTCAGATTCTGCTTCCTTATTTGTCTCTACTCCTTTTCCTGCCAAGGAAGACTTGACCCATGTTGGGAAACCAAAGAAATCATTCAACAATCATGTCTCAGTTGGCGGCCACAAGAAGTACAGGGGTGTTCGCCGGAGGAAATGGGGTCGGTGGGCTGCTGAAATCCGAGACCCTGCAAGTCGAAAAAGGCTCTGGCTTGGAACATTTGACACTGCAGAGGAAGCTGCCTCAGAGTATGACAGAGCTGCTGTGAAGCTCAGGGGTCCTGATGCCATCACCAACTTCCCTCTGTCGGTGACAAAGGAGGTGAAGCCTGCCACCATCCGTGATAGCTCAAGCACTGATAGTTTTATCTCATTCGGTGCACTGGCATCCCCAACCTCTGTGCTGTCTTAGGATGTGGACTATGGTTTCGTTACATGGACATGGATACCTCTGGTTTTGATTATGTAACTTAACGTGGATATCCAGAGACCCTTGTCAGCAATAGCCACACAATTTTATCTTTAGTCTTAGGACGTGATCGTGGGATGTCATCCTTAATCACATGGGATGAAATGAAACCATCTTTGTACAGTATTAGTATATAATGCGTCGATCGGAATCCCTGACCTATGGTAGTATTGCCAGAACATTGGTGCCATGGTGCCCAATCACTAACCAGTAGGCTTAGCACTGCGGAGCGAATAAATAATTATGTGTTTGCATCCTATTATTGCCCATGTTCCAGGCAAACACTTTCAAATTCATATCGTTTCATTTTGCCTCCTGGTTTCAACTCCTATCATTGATAGCCTTAAACCTTTATTAAAAAAGCCAAGAGGCTTTGGTGGGAATATAACTTATTTTGGTGATTTCTATATTTTAAAAGAGATTAGTCTTTTGAAATAGATCGTTGGCTAATAAAAAGAAAGAAAAAGAACTGTACCATTAATTAACAACCGTGCAACTTTATTTGAAAAGTTACCTACGATCAACCCAACGTAATTCTAGTTGGACTTCGATGTTTAAGAGATTTGTTAATGCCTATTGGTAATTAAATGATACTACTATTTAATAATTAATGAAATTAAATAATAATTATTAGTTAATTGGAGAGTGTGGTCCGAGTCATTTTTTTCCTAACAGTGAATCAGTGATACATCAAAAATAGATTTTAAGGCAAAAAATTTTGAGTGAGTGGAATTTATTAGAGCTGACAATATATCAAGCTAACAATATATTTAGGTTCAAAGTATTTATAGAAATATTTAAATATTATTTACTAAAAAGTCATCACATTGGAGGAAGGATTTGATTTCACAACTTTATAAGTTATGGGTTAAATCTTTACCAACTGTATCAATATTTGTTAGTTAAGATTTATTTATAAATAAGTTTATTATATGTGACTCCTTTGTAATTTTCTCTAATTTTATTTCAAGCAAACGAAGCTTAAAAAGAAAAGAAAAGAAAAAAGGCCCAAACGGAGCCAAACCAAGCCCACTTGAAACCCTGCGATAAAAAATAAGCCGAGATCTGTTCGCTCCATGAATTTCCTCCCTGCAGGCCACTCTCGTATGGTAATCAATTGAAAACGGAACCCTTCTCTCCGCTGCAGTTCCTTAGTCCGGCCTCCCAGTTACAGGGAAGCTTCCGCTCCTCAACCTCCGAACAAGAATATAGAGCTGAAAACCACTGAAAGCCCACGAACCTCTGTTTTGTCAGTATCTTCTTCTTCTGCTAATTAGCTATTCTGTTCTGCTTTACTTTAAAAACTCCGTTATCTGGTTGTTTCAATCTTGCTTTTCCTTTTCTTATTTTCCCTTGATTTCGATTCAAATTAGGACATGAGTTTTTGTACTGTTCCGGGTACAGTATCCAGGACGCTTCCCAATCTCAAATAACCGTATCTAGAATTAGATTATTAAAAATAATAATAATAATAAAGTATGATACTTTTGAGATATGGATAGTTTCCCTTGTGGTAAAAAAGAAAAAAAGATGTGGATAGTTTCCCCTTTTGCCGTGTCCATGCGAAGCTGATGCTTGTGCAATATTGTTAATTGCAGTTGTTTGTTTTGTTTTGTTGTCAGAAGTAAGGGTCAATTCTGGAAGTAGGTTAATTAATGATTATGTTGCTTGTCTTGACCAACTTTGCAAAAGAATGATCAAACATTTATCAAACATGTAAGAAAGAGAGTCAGAGTTGGGGAAGCCTGATATGAGTGTATATTGCCTTATTTCATATTCCTTTTTACCTCTTTAACCTATAAATTAATCAAATTTTTCTCATTCAATCTGGAAACCTTAAGTTTTAACTGATGAATAAATATAAAGGAACTTTCATAACTTATAGTTACCGAGTGGAACTCTGATGGAGCCCCAGCACCTGAATATGAAATTAACACAAGATATATCTCAGAAGAACCCTAAGGCGACACTGACATTATATTAACGTTCTAAATGCTCTTCTGGAAGAGAGTTACAGCAGAAATAAGCTCACACTCCATGGAGATAGGCTACTGGAAATGATAAAACTAAGCACTGACGAACAGATTACACACTCAAATCATTAAAGAAAGTGATTAAGAAAGATGGTCTTCCTCCACCTCCAACCTGTTGTTCAAGGCACCAGGCACTCTCCCCCTCACAATGCTCACTTTTTTGTTTAGCTTGACCTCTAAACCCTTCTCCCCCATATGTATACATGTCACAGTCCCCCCTAATATACGAATAGGTCACGCACGCACGCTCCACATGACTAGTTTGTCACCATCTTTAGCCTGGGTTATTCACTTATTGTTCTTGTAATTGATGTATATCTTCATTCTATTTCAAAGAAGAGGAGAGGGGCTTCTATTGTAAGGAATGGCAAAAGCTTTCTAAATTTGGGCTTTGAGAGCTTTTGACTTGTCAGTGTAGAAGACTCTAAAGTGTTGTAGCTCTTTTATGTTTACATTTTTGTTGTATGTGGAAGATCTCACAATTTTACTACGCATAATATGCAGCTTTATTTTCACTCCAATGACAAAGAACAAGAAGAGTTCTAAAAAGACCCCAAGTCAACATCAAGACACTACGGCTATGGAAGAGCAAAAGCCGTCTTCGGCACAGAAAAAACAAGGTAGTGAGATTGATGAGATATTTGGGGGAAAGAAAAGGAAGAAACCTGAAGCAGAAAAAACAGAAAAATCTGCAGATGTAACTAAGAGACCTAAGAAGATAAAGAAGAATATGAAGAAGAAAACCAAAAGGTCAGATGCTGGAGACTTTGCAGATCCACCTTCTCGACCGAGAAAGACAACAGACGATGGACTTGCCATCTTCAGTGAAGAGGAGTTGGGTATTAACAGAGCAGATGCTGGAAATACCCCACTTTGTCCATTTGATTGCTCCTGTTGCTTCTGATGGTGGCAATCAAGATTTTCCTGGGACGCTTGGTGATACATTTTTGGATCTATACGCCATGGCCCAGCAGTCTGGCACATAGCTTTTAGCTTTGCAGATTTCAATCAAATTTCTGGAGTACTTGTATACGCTGAGCTTGACTTTTTAAGGCTAGTATATTAGCTGCAATTGAAGTTATGGAGTTTATTAATTATTGATTATTAACTAAAAAATATTTAACTTTTCTGTTGTATTTCCAGAATCTTACATGCTCAAATTGTACCAGTCTCTTTCATGTGGTCTTGCATCTTTGTGACTGCCAACCGATTTGCCCCACGAAACTACAATTTGTACTTGCTCTCGATAACATTTAATCTGTGCTAATATTGTTTAAATTTTTGTTGTATATAACCTTGTGTAACACTTCAATAAATTCAATGATAAAAGGTCTTCAACAAATGTAAATTGTAATGCTATGATTTTACATGGTATGTTCTTAGGGCCTAATTGAGCTCACGACCGAACTTAAGTGTAAAGATGTTGCATTTGCAGTTGTGGCCAGCGGACCGAAAAAAGCAAGACCGACCGATTCCAACTTGTTAAACTCGTCACCTTTGTTCAAGAAAATTGATCATTACAATTTTGATTTGTAAAAAAAAAAAAAATCAATGATAAACAATTGAAAATAAAAAGGCTTTGTGGCAATAATATTCTTTTGTTTTTTTCGAGTCACGTTAATGTTAATTAATTATTTTTTTTGCAACTAATGGGGTGTTTATTTTAAACTTTTTTACAAGAAAAACACCTTTATTGAATTTTATTATATTTTTATAAATTGATTACTATTCTGAAAATAAGCAAATGTAGTAAATAAGGGAGAATGCCATAAAAATACGTAAATATACAAAAAATATAAAATTTGAGATCAACTAAATAATAAATTATTTTTTATGAACACAAATGTACAGAAATACATAAAATTTAAAAATCACTAAATAATAAGAACTTTTCTATGGTTTTAACAAAACAAAATAATGTTTATTTTTACAAAATCTATACAGAAAAATATAATTTTAGATCCCTATACTTTACTTACATTTTGCTATTGATTCTTATATATTTTTTTGGTGTTTTTATCCCTATACTTTTTTTTTTCTTATTCTAGGTCTTTTCAAAGTATGGAAACTTTGGAAAGATCTAAAATAATAAAAAATAAAATTACATGGCCAAAAATATTAAAAAAAGTATAGGGGCAAAATATGAGCAAAGTACAAGTTAAAGTTATGTTTTTCTAATTTATACAAACTAAATCATTTTTTAATAAAATCTCTATACCATATAAAAATGACTTATTTTTTGAGCGTAGACAAACAAACCATCAAGGTGGAAGAGATTATGTTGTGTAATGAAATTGAAAATGGAGATTATTTAGGAAAGGAAGTATGATCAATAGAAAGGTAAGGAGAGACTGAGAATGGAGCAATGAGAGAAATAAATATTAAATAACTTAAGCTATAAAGCTCTATAGCTTAGGTTAGGGGTCTCTTCATTTCTCTTTCATCATTTTTCTCCATTTTCCCAATCACTACCATTCATGTTATTTTGTTAAATAATTATTTTTAATTATAAAATTAATGAATGGTAAAGATTGAGGAAGTGGAGGATAAAAGGGGAAAAAAAATGGAGAGGTTCCCTTCGCCAACAGTGTCTAGTCCCCTTCTTTTTATAACAATAAATTGCTATACAATAAAATTAATAAAAAGTATATTATTTACAAGTTACACAAACTTTTCTAATTGCTCTGAAACAGGAACGAAGCCCACAGTTTACAGGATACATAGATAAAGACGATCAAATTTTCTAAAATCTTATTTTATATTTAAATGTCTCGTTACGCTACATGCTCCCTGTGATTTTTAAAAGAGATATTTTCAGATTTGCGGGGTTTAGAATCACTTCCGGCCCGAAACCGGAAACCGGAAACGGAACAGAAACAGGAACAGAAAAAGCCCGAAACGGACGGCACACTCCTCGCGTTTTTTTTAATGATGCTACATTTTCTTCTTTTTTTTTTTTTGGCAACTAATGATGCTGCATTTCTCCACTGTAGTATTTAGTTTGCAAATTGAAACGATCAACGCGGCCTTGTCTCAATTAATTAAATGACTTAAACGTTAATTAGTGATGCCGACATTTACCCCAAAAAATAGCAAAGCCACCAATATTGAGGTGTGCATGTTCTAATTTTTTTTTTTCCAGCTTTCTAGTAACTAGTAGGTGTGCAATGCACAAGATGTGTAAAATTAATCTTTGGGATAAGTTACAAATCTACCTTTAAAATTTTCAGCCAGACGCAACTCACATTCTAAAATATTTTTTAATGTAATTTCACTTTAATATTTTTTTATTTTATACAATGTGGTCCTGAATTAATAGAAAGTAAATGATGATTATTAGTTGGCCCATTTTGCTTAGGTGGCGTGTCTAGTTGGCATCCACCTTACTTTTTTTTCCTCTGACTAAAAGTCCCATGTTGGCTATCTCTCCCTCCTTCCTCATCGTCACTTACCACTCATCCCTAATTGCTTCATCACTCTTTCCTCGTTGAAATTTTACACACACACAAAATTTTCAACAAAAGAAAATTAAGACCCATACTTCACAAAAATGAACAAATCAAAAATAAAATAAATTTTAAAAATCATAGAAGAAGCTTCAACAATTCAACGAACATTGGGTTTCATGACTCTGAATTCAAATAAAAAAATCATAGCAAATTAATGGAATCATAACAATCAAAAGTTGAAGCAAGTTACAGGTTGGATTTCGCTATAGAAGAAATTTTACATCCACACTTCACAAAAATAAACAAATTAAAATATAAAAATAATAAAACAACCAGAGAAGATGAACCCAAATCCACACTACAGTGAACAAACCCAGAAAGATCTAACCCATAAATATAGCAAAGCAAAAACTAGAAAGGTCGAACCCAGAAACATAGAAAATCATTACAAGATTAGACTAAAACCAAAAATAAAAAAGATCGAGGCTATAAACTAGAATGATCGAAGCTTTGAATATCCAGAAGATATCGAACCCATAAACTAGAATGATCGAAGCTTTGAATATCCAGAAGATGCAATCGATCGAAGCTTGAAAGACCCAGATGAAATCCTCGTGGACGAAATCCATCTCTTACCCTTCCTATCGCTGCTTAACCAGAACCCATTGCTACTCACCCATCGTTGATCGAACCATCTAAACTCTGGCACCTCAGAGACGTAATCCCTCTCTTTCCTCTCCCATCGCTGCTCACCCAGAACACATTGCTCTCCACCCATCATTGATAGAACCCACCTCAGCTCAACCACTTCAAAGATGAAATCCCTTGCCTTGGAGATTGTGCGATTATGCGAAGGGGACGATGAAGCCAAAGCATGATCTGCGATGCTTGGCTACGTTTTAAGGTCCAAGTATGTTGATTTGCCAAAGATCAAATTTTAAGGGGAGGAGGAGGTGGCAGCGATGGCGGGAAGGAAGAGGGAAGAAAGAGAGGAAGAGAGTTGGAGAAGGTCAGAACTCAGAAAGGGACTGAGGTTTGGACATGACGTGGAAGTGGAAGGGGAGAGAGAAGATATTACGTGGCCTTATTGTGTGGGTCTATTTGACATGTGGCATGCCACTTCAAGTCTTCACAGTCAAACAACGGTCAACATTAACGGAGGACTAAATCGTACCAAAATAAAAATAGTGGGGCAAAATTATGTCAAAAAATATTTTAAAATATAGGGTGCACTTAATTAAAAACTTTGAAGATAAATTTGTATCCTAATCCTTAATTTTTTAGTATAAGTCATAACTAATTAATTATTATTAACATGTGAAATAATAAAATACAATTAAATAATTTTTAAGAATTAATTAAACGGCCTCAACTCCAAATCACAGGATCATGAAAAGTAAATTTTTTTGCCACTTAACACCTTGGTTTTGTAATCATGCAACTATCCAATTTTTAAATTTTAAAAATAATAATAAGATTATTGGAAATTAGTGGTAGGGATGACGAGTGAGGAATAAGGGAAAAAGGAAATTAAGATTAAAAATATTGAACATGCAATTTTTATATAATTCAAGTAAAAAGCACAAATAAAATTTACTGAAGGGCAGAGAATGAAACTGAAATATAACAAAAATATTTTATCACTCATGACCGCACATATATGAAGGTTTATATAAAACAAGAAAAAAATTTAACACTTTTGTTTGGGCAAGTAATATAGTTATCTATCTTAATCAAAAAATGTAAAAAAATCTAACATCAACTGAGAACTAATAATTATCTTCAACTGAAGTGTTTGTGTTACAAAACTTAATTAAAAATAAAATAAAATAAAAAAAAAAGGGTGACAACCCAGCAATACAAAAGCAAGTTGAATTAGAATACCAAAATTTACAGAGCAGGTTTTGCTAGGAAATTTTTATGCCCACCAAATGTGACAATGGTTACAGATTAAAATAAGGTAATGCTTATATCAAATAGATAGAGAATTAAAAAAAAAAAAAAGAACTCAAGAGGTAATCACCATATAAATCAAAGAATGAATAAGTGAAATATATGATAGAGAATGTTGAAAATCAATAGATTGTTTTTCAACATAATGCACATGGGTTAGTAAAAGGCGCACGTCATTTATGCATAAAAAAGAACACATAAAAATCATAATGATAGTTGAGGGAGGCATTGAGGGAACACATCTTGTTAATTAAGAGAAGGTTAGGATGGGAAGCAACATACAAAAACATGGACTTAAGAATTAGAGGAAGTTAAATTAGGAGGTAATTATTAAAATAAATAATTATTAAATAAATTAATTTAAACGTAAATAATTGCAAATTATGATACGTCACTAATTTTGAAATATGAAATTAAAGAGAATATGAAATGGTATTGGATAATAAGATCATGGAATAAGAATTCATTCATGATTTAAAAATATTGCATTTACATATAAATTTATTAATTTATAATTTAAAATATTTAAATTAATAGGCGTTAAAAAGTATTTATTAGAATGAGAAAATACATTATGCTAATTACATAAATTGATTTATATGTAAATAGTTTTAAAATAAGATACATGACAAATTTTGAAATCCGAAAATAAAAGGACGATGATATTAGAGATTAGAGATAATGTGATACAGAAGTTATTCTTTAATTCAGACATTTCATATTTAAATTTAATTCTTTTTTTTTCAGATTATGAGTAGGTTTTTGCCTCATATTTTAATGAGAATAAAGGTGAGTTGATATGAAATTATTGTATTAGGTATTTTAAATTTTATAATGAGATAAGGTGATATGGAAGTTAGGATAACAAAAATAATGAAAGAAAAAAGTTGAGAAACAAATGAGGAAATTAATAAGGGAGTCAAGACAATGGAAGTTATGATTATGACAATGGAAATAATGAAAATGAGAACTAAAAAATAAATAAGAAATAAAATAAGAGTGCAAATTAAAAGTGATTTCTCAAACTGATCTTACATGACTTCACAAAATGGCAGTATTTGAAAAAATAAAGCACATGTCATCCACAAATGCAAGCTAGTTATTCTTTTATTACACACACACGATTAGTGGATAAAAATTTTATTCACTCGTTAAATTTTTTTCTTGCATGCAATATATTTATTTGGTATTGAATTTTATTTTTTAGAAATAGAATTGTTCTCAAAATTTACGTTTGAGTTGATGTAAAGAAAATTTTTGTTGAAAAATACATATTAATTGTTAATATATTAAAAATCAGACAAGTCATTAAATTGATTAAAAAATTAATTTAAAAATTAATAATTAAAATTATAGTCAAATCTCAAATCGACCATGAACAAATCATTTCATTACATCATTTAAAACATTGTTTAATAGTTCACTAGTTTTCCATGCTGTGGTGGTAGCAACAGATATTTTTAGATTAGAATGTTTATATATAAATAAGAGAAATATAAATTCATGTCTGAACAAGCAAGATTTGCCCAATTTACTTTCAATCCAAATCTTGATACGATCATCTCTTTTTAGTTTGTCAGTCAGTTAAATATGATCGTTTCTTCAGTTGAGAATAGCAAAATGATACTCCCTCCATTTTAAATTATAAAATATTATTAAATAAAATTTCTCATATCCATCACTCTCATCAAAAACACTTAATAACTTTATTTTTTAAAATATAAGTATACAATTTAAAAAATATCTTTCATTTAATAATATTAAATTCACACCTAATTAATACTCCTTTCGTTTCTATATATAAAAGAAAAAAATATATCACACAATTTAAGAAAATTAGTTAATTACAGTAACTGTGTCTAAAAATAAAATAATTAGGCTGAAATACTTTATAGTAATCAACATAAGCATTTATTAATTATTTTTTATTAATGTAAATTATGAGGGATGATTTAGAAAATGTGTAATAAATGTTTGTTGAAATAGGTATTTTACTTATATAAAAAAATAAGTGAAAAGTAATAGTTTTTTCTATAAATAAACATGGAGGGAGTATTAAATGGAAAAGGAAAGGGTAATATTGAAACAAGCATGTTTAATGAAACCTTAATTTTTTTAAAATATCTCATATTTTAAAATGATAAATATCCTTTTAAAATATTTTATAATTTGAGATAAAAGAATAATATTGAAGCTGATCACATCACTGAATGAGGAAGAGGTTCAGTTTTCTATTCTTTTTAATATTTACCATTATTTTTTGAATTTACCTCAAATTAAACTTTAACTGATCCAAGTTAAGCTGAGTTAGACTCCCTCATCTCAAGCACATTTTTTCCTTGTTGTCACAAAACTTAAATTCAAAAAACTAAGTCTTAAAACCACAACAAGGTAATTCTCCCCTTTATCTAATTAATTAGGCATGCACCCTCTCTATTCCAATCATTTTCAGTTTCATCTGAGAAAAATTATATACACTCTTTTATGCTAAAATTGCGATACAATAAATACATTTTCCGCTATTAATATCAATATCATGTAAATACATTTTACATTTTTCGGTTAGTACAATTTAATCTTTTTTCACGTGAAAATATATAATTTAAAATTGAAAGCTCAAGGTTTAATTGTGGAGCATAAAATAGGAAAAGGTAGTGAAACTGATAAGTTTGACTAGCAGAGGAGGAGGGAACATGTGAGCTGGTCATGTGTGCGTGGCCCTTAAATCGGGAACCCCACCTTCCTCCCTTCCTCTACTCTCTCCCTCTTTCGTTCCTTCCCTCCACCCCCCCCCTCTCTATCTCCTCCCTCTAACTCTGCCGGGCCACCAGAAATCCGCCCGAACTGTTTCCTCCGTCTTCACCGTTGCTGCCGAACCGATCTTCCTATCAAAGTAAGTAAACTCTCTGTTTCCTTTTTCCTGCTTCCTGCTATTGCGAATTAGTCTGACTGTTCAATATTCATCTTCCTCCTATGTTTGTTGAAGATGAATTCTTGAGTTTTGTTTGGGGAGAACTGAGCTCTGTGATTAATTTCTATTATTGGATTCTTTTTCTACAAGGGAAATAACGAATTCTTGGAATTTATCCTGGTTTTGTGTCTTCAGTGCCCATTCTTCCGAATTTATTCTTCCGCCCTCTAGAAGTTAGGAGAATATCAACAAGAGCAGGTGTTCGTGTCCTGAATGGATCTTATTGTACATTTTAAAAAATTTTTTGGTGAACTTTCTTATTTCAAATTTGAGAGTAAGCATGCCAGCGCATTTCTGGATTATACAAGGATTACAATATCGCGCTTCTCGAGGCAGAGTTCTCCTAATTGTCTCCATTTGTTCCCGCTAGTGGCACCGATTTTGTTTTCGTCCGCTTGGACCATTATTAATATTATTATTATTATCATCATCCTTTAAAAATCACGTATAGGAACAAATTATTTTGATTTTCTGGGTATATTTTTTCGTCGATATTAAGAAAAATAAGGAAAAATATTGTGAACGTGATTGCACCACCTTGATGGAAGGCGGCTACAGATGTTTACGCGTGGCGATAGTTAAACGTCTGGTTCGCCAGTGTCCTCAAATGCGGATGCATAATTAGTCAATTTCCGCCACCAATTTGAATTTCGCGTGCATAGTTAAACGTCTGGTTCGCCAGTTGTCCTCAAATGCGGATGCATAATTAGTCAATTTCCGCCACCAATTTGAATTTCTCCGCGTGCTTCTCAGGCGCGTTCCTTCACGCCCCCTTTTTTTTGGGGGGGAAAAAAAATCGTACAATGCCTTTTTTTGATAAAATATTCTTTTTTTTTTTGGCCCATGATATCCAATTGAATTCGTATGTGGGATGCTTCCATCACACTCATTCAAGTTATTTGCTCCTTCCAAGCGGCAAAAAAAAAAAAAAGAAAAAGAAATCGTGTGCCTCGCTATGTAAGCTTATCACGTTTATGCGTTTCCGCATTAATTTCGTGGTTTCCATAATGTGCAGGGCTTTTTGTTGTATCCAATAGCTTTTCTTGATATCAGATTTTTGGTCAACGAGTACGGGAAAAAGCTGATGGCTGCTTCTGGGGTAAGATATGAAACTGGACTCTCAACACTTGATTGATTGCTACGCTTTATGATATTTGCAGGCTATCAATAAACAGCGACAAGATGATACCGTTTGTCCATATCTTATAGTAGGAGTCATATCTGAACTGGTATTGCGTTAGTGAGGGCATGGGGCAAACATAAAAAAGAAAGAAAAGACTCTGCATTTATGGATAGAGTTTTTCAGTTAATTGACCGCCCTGTAGATCTGGTAATTTTATATCAAAGGGACATCTAAAGGATGGCTACAACTAATATCTAAAGCTTGCCGTGTTTGAAGTGTTGAAAACAATTATTAACTTGCAAGTATATATGATGCTCCTTTCCCACCTTTTCATTGGTTTTGCTTCAAAGATTGGCTTTGTGCTGCTGGTTGATTCTCGTAAGTTAATTCAGACATAATTGTGCTGGGTTCTTTTATCAGATCACCACTAATAAGCAAATGAAGAGGATGGAATCAAAAAAGTCACATTCCTGGTGGTGGGACAGTCACATCAGTCCCAAGAACTCTAAATGGCTAGCTGAAAGTCTTGAAGGTAAGTAACTATGAGCGCAATGGAATGCTTAAGTTTCTTCTTCCTTTGTTGTTAACTATCAAATAGATGGAAAGCAAACCTAAACAAGAGATGCAGCTTCAGATCATGCTTAAAAGGAAAGAATACCTCTTTTGAATATGTGAAAATTTGCCTAGAAATAATTGTTCATTGGTCAGCTTTTAGTCTAGATTTAATGGTCAGGTTGTTGTATACCATTGAGGAATGCAGAAATTAAGTCAAACTAGTGATGGCTGCTTGGGAATTAGAACAGTCTCTCTTCCTTTGTGGATCAAATAATGTATTGTTAATCAACGGATGTTCTGTTGTTTGACGTGCAATTAGAATTAGAATTTAAATTACAGGTTTATATCACCCTACTATTTTCATAGTCTTCGGAGGTTCTAGCTTAGATGGATCGAAGGGAAGAATGAGAAACTAAATATGGCAGCGCTGATAGGATAGAAGGTTAAATTACTCTATCCTCAATATGTTCCAAAATTACACTGCTCTTCTTCTATCACGAAAAATTACGCATAACTCTCATGAAACCAGATGACCAAAGTACCCTCAGGAATAATTTTTGTTAATATTATTTAATTTTCTAATTAATTGATTGTAATTTATCTTTTATAACGTGGATGTGTAATGTTTCAGAACATATTAGAAGGCTCTATAATCTTGGGATCTCTTAGGAGAGGAGAAACTAATTTACGCTGTTATGTATGTTTAAAAAAAATTACAATATGGAGTTTGGAAAATAAAGCATCACTATAAATTAAAGCGATTCTTTATATTTTTAGTACATTGGTTATGGTTTATCTAAGACCGGGTGCGCCCAATTTTGTTTAGAATTATGCTTTTAACTTTTTTTGGGGCCTTATTGATGCTTGTTGATGGGTTTGGCCTATCTTGATGCCTGTAAACATTTACCTTCTACGCGTCTATGCAACAAACCAGGTTCAGGTCGAAGTAAACAAAGCCATTTCTTTTGTTCTTCTAACGACGCTTGTTGCTTCTATACGGGATAATTAGCTTCTAGGCCATCAATGTTGGGATCTCTGTTATATAATCGAAAGAAGAGAAAGTTAATACGAGTGAAGAAATTAATATTTGGCGTAATCTACTGAAGTAGTTACTCTTTTGCAACTTCCCAGCTGTGGGGGAGGGATTAGATAATATCAATTTGTGTATTTTAAATCTCACAGTAATTACCAATTTATCTTCCACTTGTTCTCATCACAATGTACTTCAAGAGAAGGGTTAAACGATCTTTCTTTACAGAAATGGAACAGAATGTGAAGCGAATGTTGAAGCTGATAGAAGAGGATGGAGATTCATTTGCAAAAAAGGCTGAGATGTATTATCAGAAGAGGCCTGAATTAGCTTCTCTTGTGGAGGAATTCTATCGAATGTATCGTTCTCTGGCTGAACGATATGATAATGTACAGGAGAATTGCGAAAGAATATACCCTACGAACTTCAATCCCAAGGCTCAGGTATGTCAGATGTTGCATCTGAGCCATCCTCTTTTTGGCCCACTCCCAAAAAGGTGGGCCGTCGTATATCTGCCAACCGAGCCGCTGGGTTTGATGTCTTCCTTGGGTCTGGTGGAAATGGCTCTGATGCTTGCCAAAAGGAAGGAGATGAATCATCTACATTAACAGATTCTGAGGAGGAATCTGATTGTTCTTCGGTTAACAATTACTCCATTTTCTCAGGGAATGGTAGTGATAATGGGCTAAACAGAAGATACTTGACTTGGAAATTGAGCTTCGTGAGGTCAAGGGAAAGCTCTGGATGCAAGAAGAGGAGAATGCAGAGGTTTCATCTGGAGGGCCAAGAAACGAGAACGTTGATGCTATTCATGCCAAAGTTAACGGGTACGAAGAAGAACTAAGGATTGTAAATGATAAGTTAAGGCTTTCGAGAGAAGAAATAACTGAACTGAAGACTGAACTTGAAAAATACAAGTCCTCAGAAGCATCAAGTTTGCATGCTTCTGACAAGTTTACTGCAAGTGAAGACATCAAGACAGGAGGGTCACTGCTGAAAACATCAGTGTCTTTGAAGGAGCCGGAATTGTTGGACCCAGATGGTAAGATAAGGTCATTGGAGGAGGAGCTAAGAATCACTAGACAAAAACTTGAGGATTCAGAAAAACAAGTCGCTTCGTTGAAATTTGAGGGCGGTAAATTCTCTGAAAGGATTCAAAAAGTGCAGGATCAGCTTGACTTGGCTCGTAAAGATGCTGCTTCTTGGAAAACTAAATTCAATTCTGAGAAGAGAGAAAGCACCAAACTCCAAGAAAGACTTTTGAGGTTAAAATCTAGTCTTAGAGACCGTGATCATGAGATCAGGGATTTAAAAACAGCTGTATCTGATGCAGAGCAGAAAATCTTCCCTGAGAAAGCGCAGATAAAGTCTCAAATGTCCAAATTGCTTGAGGAACGGACTTCTTTGGAAGCGCAGGTCCGGGAATTGGAAAGCCGTGGTCGTCTCTTGGAAGATGAGATTAGGAAGATCAGCACCAATAAAACGGAGATGGAGGAAACACTCAAGGGTGAGTTAGAGCTGTTAAAGGCGGACATTAAAGAAAGAGAGAGCATTATAAAAGATCTCAAAATAACCGTTGATGCTTTAAAATTAGGGAGAGAGAATCTCAACGCAGAAATTGGTTCACTCAAGGAAGAGGTCGACACTAGGGATACTCGAATCCAAGAACTCGATCAGCATTGGAACCAGCTCCACCAGGAACAATTGCAGCTGGTTGCTGAAATGGAGGAGCTAAAATCGAGAGCGAAGAAACTGGAGGAAGAGGTAGAGAGACAGAAAACTGAGATCTTAGAGGGAGCAGAAGAGAAACGAGAGGCCATAAGACAGCTATGCTTCTCAATTGATCACTATAGGAATGGGTATCGTATGCTAAGGCAGGCTTTCATGGCGCACAAGCGAGTCCCAGTTTTGGCCTAGTATGTGTCCGCGTGTGATGCTCTAAATGTACACGTACCCTTCGTATTATTTCTCTCTGGAGTGTGTGGTTATTATTGGGGGGTTATAAATGTGATCCAAAGTCCATGAGAAGCGGGAACCATGGTTTCATGGCGTAATTGGGATGAAGCTAGTTAGGGAGTTGAGCAGGGAATCATTTCATGGGTGCCCATAGTGTAAGATATTGAGGAATTGCCTTAGATTTACTGTTGACCAGGAAAATGTGCGATGTTTTATCCCATTCTGGTCTGAAGTAGGGTTTTGGTGTATTATTTGTTGAAATTCAATCAGAACTTGGTATTATGTTGATCATGATTATGTAATGTTCTTGAAAAATTCTGTCATCATGTATACTTAAATGCAAAAATCTTGTAGATTGTTTTGTTCTGTGTTGTTTTATATCGTGGGTTGCTCCAATTATTCTTTGAAAGTTCAGCAACCTCAACCCCGCTCAAAAATCAATTACTCAGGTAAAAATACAAGTGGGACTGCGCGCAGGTAGGGGTCGAACCTACGACTTTCTGCTTAGGAAACAGACGCTCTATCCACTGAGCTACAGGCGCTTGCTACCTGCAACGCCAAAAAGTTTAAAATAACTGGATCTTCTTTTATATTCTTATACTACCTTAATTGATTCGATTCTATTCAAATCATATCAAGATAAGTATTGTTCCAATTCAAAAATAATCAAGATGAGGTGAGACATGGGATTGCCTTCGAGATGTTTAGTTTCATCTTGAACTATAAATATCATTTCTTACTTTAAAAATATATATTAAATATGTTAATTATATTAATGTAATTTATATTTATACTAATTATATTAATTATAATTTTAATATGTATAATTAGTATTTAAAATTAAACTTTTTTATATTATAAATTTAATGACACAAAGCAAGCAGTGCAGGTTAATATCATTGTTTATAATATACTAATTAAATTAATATAATTTATTCTTATATCTATTTATTTAATAACTTTTATTTATATTGTATTTCTTACTTTATTTTTAAAAAAGTAATTAGCTTAACATATCTCAATTAAAGAAGAAGAACAATTATATTTATAATTGGCTTGATGTTATATTTAATGACTTGATGTTATAATTGACTTGTCTATTATTGTTGTTTTTATAACTTAGAGATAACTTATAATTGTTATTATAATGTGTTATTACAATTATTATCATAAGGTTTATTTCATAGTTTTCATAGTTGTGATTATGTACTTCAGTAATTGACTTTAAATTATTATATTTTATGCACTTGTATAGTTATGATTTTAAACTTAATAAATTATGTAATTTAAAATTTTAATGAATCTTATTATCTAGACCTTTCTTTCACATTATTTGATTTATCGGAATGATGGTATATCTTGATCCTATCTCAATTTTTAATTGGACCAGATAAGATATAGAACAAAAATTTAGCTATAATCTTTTTTCAAAATAGGATACAGGATAGGGATATCCTAATTCCATCCCATCCTATAAATAACCCTAGTTGATATTTAGCAAACCTTACGAGAATGGACCAGGATCTAGAAATTGGAAATTTGAAAAATTATATCTATACAGTAAAAGGCATACTCTTGTCCTATGCATTCAAGATTGTATGTGTTCAGCAAAATTTAAAAAATTACGTATGCATTGCAAATTTATAATGTAATCATACAATACGAAATGATTTGTATATGCGCTTTTACTTTATACATTGATATTCGTATTAAAGCAATCTCATGAATTTATTATTTGGGTGAATTTAATAAACTTGATTTCAAGGTATTGAAAATAAAAACATAAAAACTGGATCACCCCTATGGCCCTATACATAGATTACCCAAAACTTAATTTTAGATTAATAATGAGAAAAGTCTCTTAGTGTGGTTGCACACAAAAATTGAATTCAAAACAAACAATCATTCTAAAAACAACAGTAACTTTTTTGTTTAAATAAATACTCCTTCTGATCCTATTTATAGGATAAAGAAACAAAAATTTATCGTATTGATAAATCAGTCATTAAATTTTTATAATAAATTTTTTCTTTTACCTTCCATTAAATGTTGGGGAGAAAAAATATATTATTAAATTATATATATTTAATAGGAGTAAAGTTAATAACTTATTAAATTTTAAAATAAAGTTAATGAGTTTTAAGATTTTCTTTGGTACTAATGAAATATGTTAAAAGTAATTTATAAATAGGATCAAAGGAGAAAAATAGTAGTAAAGTAATTGCAATAAGTGATTTTGTTTTATATATATATATATATATATATTACATTGGTTCTGTGTTCAAAATAAAGAAAATTAAAGACTAATATGTATAATGTAAAATTTGGAAGAATGGAGAAACCCTAAATGCATGGCTTTATTTTCATTGGAGAATCATCTTGGAAGATTTTCCTTGACCGTATTTTATCTTTCGTTTTCACTGGTCACAGATAATCTTATCTTTTAGGAAATTAGATTTAAGTATTTGCATTAATCTCCGCATACGACAAAGTCAAATAAGAATATATTGTTTTTAATTTTCCTGATTACATTATAATTACCACACACACACCAACGGGTTATATGATAAATATTATTGTCATTTTGCCAGAGAAATGAAAAATAGGAAACAGAATAATGCACGATATTGGAGGTTTCGAAATGAAAAAGGCAAGACATATGGAGCTTTAAAAAGAAAAAGAAAAGAAATAAATTCAAATACAACAAAACGATCACAAACAGAAATCACAGCAAAAATTCAAAAGGAAAATTTGGCGACGCATGGACGAAGCAGTCACAGAATTAGGGAATTAAAAACGAAAGACGATGAGGACGAGGAGGAGGAGGAGGGTAGTAGCTGGAAGGAGCACAAACTGGACAAGCTTGGCTCCAAAATAAACCAAAGTGATGAATATGATCACCATAATCACTACTTGCGCTGATAAATCACTCCCTGGAGCATCGCTTGTCTCTAGCCTTACTTCTTCTGTTGAATCAATATTTCCAGAGAATAGACAAGTCAAGACCCAAACTTCACTAACACTTCAAATGCACAATCTAGCATTGAACAATCAATAAATCTTGAGTCAAAAACTACGAGACACATGGAAAGCTTATACATATAATGAATCAATGATTAAATAACATACATAGATATCTGCAGTAAGAAATGCTTACGAAGAGACGGTTTGAGTACTCAAGAATTGTGAGGAACGTAGCAGGTAGAGGAGTCATGGGAAGGAGTGTGAAGCCGTGGACGAGAAGAAGGTCGAAGTTCAGAGGACACCAACGCCACCATTAATGATGTTATCGTGAAGAAGATGGAAAGCAGCAAGAGGGAGCTCTTCAGGACAGTCATGGCTTGGCTGCTTCACTTGCCCACCCAGCAAGAAACAACAGGATACGTTATTTTTTAGCCAAAACTCCCTCGTGCCGTGTCTGTGTCTTGAAAGGTCTCTGATTGGTTTATGTAATACTCAGGTTTACCATCCCTTTTCTATTTTCTTTATTTATTATTGTTCTTTTTGGGTGTTTGCGTATTTATGTTTTATTAAAAGAAAAACTTAAATACTTATATTTAAGATGTCTATTTCTAATCAAGCTAAGACATGTTTATATTGTATATATTATTTATCCTGTGTCGAATCATCTTATTAATTAATATTATTAATAGTTTAAAACATAGTTATTTTTATTTGATTTGATGAGTGTATATTAAGTATATAAATCTTTTCCTTTATTAAAATGAGAGGGATATACTTTTATACATAGATGTCCCGTTCAATTCTCATTTAGGGCCACATTGGATGTTAAATATAGCATCCTTTTAAATATTTTTTCCTCTATATTATGTATTTTGCTTTGGTCTACCAAAGCAATGTATTTTTCATCAAAAATAACTTTATGCTATCTTTAGATACACATGAATTTAGATTTAAATTAAATTAATTATTTGGATAATTAAAAATGTATGGACTTGGATTTGACCTAAATCCAAGTCTAAGTTATCATTTAATTTCTTTATAATTTAAAATTCTTTTGAAACCCCTATTATTTCAAATACTAACTCAAGCTCTTTTGTAATTTAACCCAAATGTATGAAGATTTGATTAACCTGCCAACGTTAATTAGATGAAACCACTAAAGTTGAGGAAAACAAGCTGCCACTGTTGACTAGGTAGGACGACCGACTTTCACCAAGACCAAACCGACGATAATGATAGGACCGAAAGCCAAACTTCCAACATGATTGGATCGATAGCGATGACTAGGACTGGACGCTCGATTTCCACTAGGACCGGACCAACGGCGACGGCAAGGATTAGGTGCCCAACTTTCACTTGAGACCGAACCTACGATGGGGATTGAAAGTCTGACTTCCAATGGGAATGAACTGACGGTGAAGGCGGGTACTCAATGCCCGACTTCCAACGGGAATAGACGACGATGACTGCAGGGACTGGACGTCGAACTTCCACCGAAACTGAACTGACAACAACAACGAGGACATGATGCTTAACTTTCACCGGGACCGAACCAACAGCAATGACGAGGACTTGATGCCCAACTTTCACCAAGATGGATCGATGGTGATGATGGGAACAAGACACCTGACTTTCACTAGGGATTGGATCGATGGTGATGGCGGGGATCGAACGCCAGACGTCCATCGAGACAGAACTAACAACAATGATGGGAACAAGATGCCCAACTTCCATCGAGACAGGATCGATGGCAACGATGAGAACCAAATGCCCGACTTCCACCATGACTTGACCGACGATGATGACTAGAATCGAACTGACAACGACAAGAACCAAACAGCCAACTTCCATTGAGACTAAACCGAAGGTGATGACGAGGACTAAAAGTCTCACATCCATTACGCAAGATTGACCGTTTGGTCCCAATCGTCGCCATCGTTCTTGTCCCGATGGAAGTTGGCCGTCCGGTCGCCATCAGTCTAGTCCTGTAGAAGTTGACCATCTAGTTGCCGTCATCATCATCAGTTCGATCTTTATGGAAGTCAGCCATCAGGTCTAGTGGAAGTCGACCATCTGGTTGCTGTCGTCACTATCAATTCGATCTTAGTGAAAGTCAGCATTTCGATCCCCATTATCACTGTTGGTCCAGTCCTTGTAGAAGTCGGCCATCCAGTCCCCGTCATCCCCCTCGATTCGGTCCTCATCATCTTTGTTGATCTTGTCCCTATCATCATCGTAGGGCCGATCACAATGGAAGTCGACTAGGGTCCCGTCCCTGTCGTCACGATGATCCGGTCCTAGTGGAAGTCAAAGGTCCCATCCCAATCATCACCAGTGCCACAGTCCCATTCAGCTTTGTTTGTCTAATCCCGTTAAAAGTTGGCCATTCAAATCGTCAAGTTTGACCAATTTTTTAAATTCAAATATAAATTTTAAAATTTGAAATTTTACTTTAGATCAAAATAAAAAATTGATTTTGTAATTAAATTTTTTTTTATCATCCAAACAAAGAATTTAAAATCCATGAATTTTAAATATAAAATTTTAAATCTAAATTCTCTGTGAAATTCACCCATCCAAATACAATCTTAGTTAACACTCCACTATTTCAAGTAAAAAATTTTATTCTCTCTTATTCTATTTATAAATCACTGTTAATATATTTTATTTGAAGCAAAAAAAAAAAAACCTTACTCTATCTAAATATTAAATCCATAGCAAGATTTTTGTATTTTCGGAGTAATACATAATTATGGTTCGGAAAACAAAGTGTCACCAAGGAAAAAGCGAGGGTGTCAATTTCGCTTGAAACATTATTTGCGTTCCATAATAAATTCTTCACATAGTTTTGATGACATGAGGCATTATTAATATAATGCCTTTCATATCACCATAGACTACATCCTATCTGTCGTATTAGATGTTTTTGTATAAGCATGTACATGAATTTTCCTCCTCACCTTCACATTAGATGTCTATTTTTTTTTCACATCAGTTACCATAATTGAAGAAAAATTCAAATAAATTAATTACAAGCATAAAATTATGTGCATATAAGAATTAATGACCATTGATTAAAAAAATACTGATACTCCATTATTTAGATACTCGTGCTTCCATTGATTTAATTAATAACATTCATCCATAGCGAGGATAAAAATGTAGAGAGAGAATACGAATAAAAAAATTGTAAAGAGAACAAGACTGCAAAGGTGACCCGCGAACAAAATTCCGATCATGGCTTGCAATCAAGCCGAGCAAAGGACTAAAACATAGAAGTAATTTTCTTTCTCTGGATCAAAAAAAGTCTCAATATAAGAACATGACATTGCAGGCATTCTATGCTGAAACAAATTGATGTTGAGTGCGGGAGTGGAATACATGGAAGGTGGATATACAATTATGCTGGAGTGATTGTCAAAGTCTTGTTTTTTTTTTTTTTTCAGGCAACAAAATTTGAAAGAGAAGGGAACTTGCGTTCGTGGGATGCACAAGATGCATAACCTATGCCAGTCCTACAAAGTCTAGGCGTCTATCTAGCAAGCTACGCTTTGCTGATAGCCAATTACAATGGTGTAAAAAGTCAATACACGGAGACTCCCAGCTTCCATACAAACTAGTCCATCCATCTCCACCATCCTCGCACAGCCACAGCCCCATGTCTCTGACGAAACAAGCCTATTGATGGATCACCCATAGGTGTAGTCCAACTTCTCAAGCGAGGCCAACAATATCAATGCACAGCAAAAATTTCAACAATCTCTACCATATATAATTATATCATATAATGAGGGAAGGAAAAGCAAGGAAATTTAGAACCACATACAGCAAATCTAAGCATGCACGAGTAGCCCCAACCTTCGCCATGGAAAAATATACTCGACAAGGGAAAAAAAAAAAAGAAAAATTACTAGTTACAAACCTTGGAGCCTTTCGTAAAGTTCCATCAATTAAATGAGGGCCGCCGTCAAACATCTGGTTCAATCATCCCACGCACTATCAGCTGCACCTTCTCTTTTGATATTCGATGAGGTAATCATGAACCTATACTTATCCTCAATAGCGATTGGGGCAGTTCCGGAAGACAAGTTCTTGGATAAAGCTATCTTTGCCTCTTTTTGTGCAGCTGCCGCCTCTTTCTCCTTTCTTCTAGCAACCTAGAAGCAAATGGCAAGGAAGTTCCCCTATCATACCGACAATGGAGGATGATGATAAACACAACATCATGGAGAAAAATAATATACTTTCCCAGTTGCAAATGCCACGGCATTCCCAGACTCAGCGTCAGCTATAGCCTTCCTTATATTTGCAACAAGGAACTAGAGACCAAAATCATGTTAGCGTTAAAATCAAGCAGAAAGAAGAATGGTTCAAAATAGAAGAGGACAGCAAGCACCATATCACGATCAGTGTAAAAAGAAGTCGCCTGGCCTGTTGATCCCGCACGCCCTGTCCTGCCAATCCGGTGTACATAATCTTCCATGGTCTATAATTGAAGCAGCCATAACTGAAGGACATTAAACTTGACTGAAAATACCAGGCCAACAAAATCCCAATATAGCAGTAGCAGAATGGCAATCCTCTATCAGAGAAGAATCCCAAAATCCTTCTTAGATATACTTTCTTCTTGGACGTCAGGCAACATTACTGATCAAGTAAATTTGGCTTGTGGAAGACATACCTTTGGAAGATCTAAATTGATGACATGTGACACTCCTGTGACATCCAAGCCACGCGATGCAACATCAGTGGCAACCTGCATGAATTGGTCCCAATGAGTACCATGGAAAGCGAGGAAAAGGTCCCAAATTTAAAATGGATTATGTAAGAAAGAGAGGAACAATATCAAAATTGCCAATGTTAAGCTGACATAGCAGGAATCCTAGCATACAACCTGGGCACTACATAGTCTTTTAATATGACATTTGTAATAAATTGAAGAACAAGTTACTGTCAGTAAATCCCACAAAATATTGTGTTTTGTTCCTTTCCTCCTTGACATGAAAAGTAATTTCCATCCAAAAGCAGACTTCGGGAACATAATTACAGGATTATGATTCTTTTAGACAAAATGAGGAAAATGAAAAACACAGTATTACAAAGAAGATAGGCCTCTTAGCTTGCCATTCTATTCAGACATAAACTGATGAGATTATATTTGTAGTTGAATGACATCAGAAAAATCTTATGAATCAGCTATCCAATCATATTAGTTGATTTAGAATAGCTTCGGAGAGTCGACACACTAGAATTTTTCCTGTTACCCACTAATGAGACAAACCGTTATATCAAATTTTAGAACTAAATAATGATGAGAATGTTAGGTCGGTGCTCATTAACAAATCTATGGAGCACAGATGTTTCATAGGTTAGTTTCAAAGTTTCGCTTCCTGCCTTGCCGTGGCTGAGTTAAAGTAAAATGTCCTCACCTCTCTTCAACCCCCCTAAAAACAATCCAAAACCAGAAATGGCGATTGAAGTTCCAATTTCATCAGATCATTATGCACAAAATGAAATGAAATGAAAGAAAAATGGAATGGAAAGTAATCTTGTGAATGAGAAATGCTGTGTCCCTAATTTTTTTAAAAAGTACCAGTAAAAGATAGTTACTTTTTAGTAATTACAACAATATAATAAATATTGTATCTTGTTTTTCAAGCAATGGAAAAGGAAAGCTTTTCAATCCACCAAACAACAGCCCCTTACAGCTTTTGTAGCTGGAGGGAACCACAACGTCCTCACAAAGTATAATAATTACGTTTCAGAGCAGACAATTAGTGGACAGGTTACCAAAATGTTAGTGGAGCCACTTCGAAAATCATGCAAAGCAGCCTCTCTTTCATTCTGACTACGGCCACCATGAAGAGAAACAGCAGATAAACCTTGGGCTACCAATGCTTCAGCAATTTCATCACACCTTGTCTACAAGAACAAAACAATTAACAATGAGAAAACATAGAGATACAGCCACTCCCCTTGAGGGAGGGAGGGGGAGAGAGAGAGAGAGAGAGAGAGGAGATTCCAATTTTTTTTTTTTTAAAAAATGCCACTTCAAAAGAGTTCAATAAATGTCTTTTTAAAACATCTAATACAGATACTAAAACTAAATGAAATAAACCTTTCTTTCCACAAACACTATTGTTAATGGAAAAGGACGATTGCATTTTTCAGCCTGTGACGCCTCCTCAACAAGCATATCCAGAAGCCGGTCAATCTACAAATACGTAATAATTTCAGAACAGAATCCCATGAAATGAAGGCTGAGGCCATATAAGAGAAAAACTAAAGAAATACAAATTCAAGAATAAGATATATTTGAGAGTTGATTAAAAAAAAAGTTTTTAATCAAAAGTTTTAGGAGAATCAAAAAGTTTTGATCTGAGAGATAATGAGTCTTGGTGGTGGAGTGATAATATACAAGAAAAAATCAAACAAAAGGAAAAGTATTTTAAAGCCATTCATCTGTGCAATAATGATAAAAATTGGAAAAAATATCGTATGGCTAAGAAGAAAACTAAGAAAGGCGTGAGTAAATCTTGTTCTAAACTATTTGAAGGGTTTTATAATGGTTTTGGAATAAATAATGGAGAACAAAAAATTTATAAGATTGCTAAGAGTAGAGAAAAAAATCAAAAGAAAATAGATAGGAGAAATTTTGGTCATAGATAGTGATAGGAGACCTACTTTTCCAAACTTTTCAATGATAGAGGGGGTTTGTCTAGTAATTTGAAGATTTAATAACTCATGAAAAACAAAATTTGTCATTCTATCAAAGAATGCAGAATAGTGACATAAAGGAAACTCTTAAGAAAATGACAAATGGTAAAGCCAATGGACCTAATTATGTTCCTATTGAAGTGTAAAATGTTTAGGTGAAGAAAGGGTGTAGTGCCTAACTAAGTTATTTAATAAGATCTCACAGTTCAAGAAAATTCTTGACGATTGAAAGAACAGCATCTTAGTTCCTCTTTACACAAATAAAGGAAATATTTAGAATTATACTAACTATAGAGAGATTAAACTCATGAATCATATAATAAAATAGTGAGAAAAAGTGATTGAGAATGTAGATGGTATTTTTGAAAATCAGTTTGACTTCATACCAGTAAAGTGACTACAAAAGCGATTTATCGACTAACAGGATTAATGGAAAAGCATCCATGCAAAGGTAAGGAAATTTGTTGTTATGAATTTAAATCCTTTGAACTGTGACTGAAATTTGTTTTGTTAGAGATTGTCATGGATTTATTATGATTAGCTTTTAATGTTTTGTGATAAATTTTATATGATTATAAGTATTTTTGTTATCATCATCGAGTTTATTAGATTGAAATGAATTGTTGGCTCTCAAAGGAAAAGGGGAAAAAAACAAAGTAAGGTATTGAACTACCAAATCAGTCTCCCCCCAATCCTATGGACCAAGTCCAATCTTATTCAATTTTAAGTTAAGCCTGCACTAGACTAAACTACAAGTTGCCTAACCCAATCCTTTCTATGACAAGAAACCAACTTCGAGTTAGGCCAAAGTCTTGTCATGTCTATCCTCTGCGTAGCCCTCACACAAACTTAATGACGTTATTTAACATGTCAACAATCTTAACACCGTTTGTACCACTACCACATCAACATCCCTTTGAAACTATAGAGACCGATGTTATAGACAGAGAAAAGTATAAGCACCAAGAACACCAAAAAAAGTGCATGGCTTATAACAAAATTCAAGCAAAGTATAAGAATCAAAAGTATTATTTTCCCTAAATTAAATAAGCAACCAATCAAGCCTTTAACAACTAAAATATCATTAGATAATTATTCATACCTTCTCATCTTCAGAAACCTTCACAAGAGTTTGACAAACGTTTGCTGTTGGGCTACTCACTTTCCCTACCTTTACCTGCACGGGGCTTGCTAAGTACTCCTGAAAGTAGAGAATGGAAAGGCAAACTTAATAAAGTTCTTGCACAACTGAACTTATAGGGAATATGTTGGCAACAAAATAACGATGATTACAGATGTCTTTATGAGGCTTGAGAAGCCAAATTCAACAATCAAAGAGAAATTAAGTAGGTTGCAAGTCACTCAAAACTAGAGTCACAAACAGCTTAGGGAAATTAATAAATTGGTCAGCGGTACCCATTGTATGCTGGAGATTATTTTTATTTCTCCAAGCACGAGCAGCAGAAAGTCTCCTTAAAATAAGAAAATAACAATTCCCTACCCTTTCAACATAGCTCAAAAATAAACAAATGTAAAGGATGGAACCGAACCTTTGCTAAAGCTTCAATCTCCACAGGCATAGTTGCACTAAACAACAATGTTTGATGCTTCTCTGGAAGATTTCTCATGACCTGATGATACATTAGATAGTATATATTTTCTTCAGCAATCTAGATGTTAGATAGACATATTGCAACACATTAGCGTCGGGTAATTTCTTATAGTTGATAATTCATTCACAAGAGATCAAATTTGAACAAATAAGGCATCTAATTGTCAAGCAACATTCGTTATGATAAAAGAGATGCATCAAGAGACAAAAAATTAAATTGACATGATCTTTGGTCTGATTTTAAAATAAAATTTCGAATCCAGGAAGGGAGATTCCTTTTTGCCAAAGAAATTGTGCACATACCAAAGCAACCTCATCTTGCTTTCTTCACTACAAAATCCTTACCCATTCCAGCTCTTCCATGAAGGAAAATGGACCCTAACTAACAAATCATCTTGTTTAAGCATCATCCCTAAGTTCCAACTTCAACAATCAATAAAATCAATAATTGTTTTAAATAGTGAATATGAAATTAGAGGAAGAACTGTCAGGCAAAAAAATAAAAAATAAAGGAAGACCTGCACGGAAACAATAGGATCTAGTAAAGCATAAACACGAGTACCAGAATGGAACGGAAATCATTGTTCAACAGTGTTTATCGCATTAAAAAGGTCATTTTCCATTCTGTCATTCACATTCTTATTTCCTTTCCCTTTCAACTCCTAAAATTCTGCATACAATACATAGCTTCAAAACATAAAAACAAGATCAACTTATCAATCATACATTTGAAATTGAATTGTTATCAAGATGAACGGAACATTTGAGGGAGAAACTTCACACCACTAACCTCTCTTATCTGCGGTTCAAAACCCATATCAAGCATCCGATCTGCCTCATCTAGAACAACAAAAGAAATTCTAGAAAGGGAAGTATTGCCTTGTTGTAAATGATCGATGAATCTTCCAGGGGTAGCAACCACTATGTCAACTCCTGCTCGTAGCTCAGATCTCTATAATATTGATAAGAAACACATAAACCCCCAAAAATATGTTTCCTTAAAGCATAGGAAGATTAAAAAGTAAAAAGCACGTGAGGACTCAACAACATCTCATAAATGTTTCAATTGATAGTAAAATAGTAAAAACATCATGGATATAAAATCATTATACGCCATTATAAAATTATAAAATGTTAAAATAACATCGCTAAAGCATACAATTAAAGTTTTGACATACAAAAATAAGACTCAGCATTTAGTTACCTGCTTTTCAATGTTAGTTCCACCTACAACTATTGCAGTTTTTAATGATTCAAGTGATCTGCTAAAAGCTTTAACCTGCAGAATTTCAAAAAACACCTCATAATAATTAATGAATAGTGGGAAAAGATTACCAATAAAGAAACAAATCAGTATAGCTCCTAGATTCAGGCATAACAAAAGAATTATGATAATTCAAAGAAAGATAGAAATATTCTTGTGTTCAAGAAACAAATAATCTTTAGTATAGATAAAACCCTATTTCCAATATGGAAACAGCAAGAAGATGCATATAACTCATGAGTCTCAAATGCAACATAATCGCAACTTATCAAAAAACTGAAGGATAGATTAAAATTGTTCCAATAAGGAAAACCGTAACATAAGAAACTTTATTAATAAATCATCATACTTTGATTCAATGAAATAATGATTCAACATTACAAAAAGGTGAAAAATATGTCCCAGGTGTCATGCATGCGTCAAGGCAGAGTAAAAGTAACAAAGGACAGTCACAAATTCAAAGGTATGACATATGAATAAAAACTATAACTTGGGAAGCATTCCATCCCTATACATTTGGATAGCCTATTTATATACACTTAAAATTATAAACATCACCTCTTTCTCTATTTGTTGAGCAAGCTCTCTAGTAGGTGCCAGAACCAATGCTAAAGGACCATCACCGCGCCGAATCGGAGGTTGAGCCAAGCAATGCTACAAAATAAAACAGGAATGAAATTAAGTCGCAAGCAAAGGATGGTCACTTAATTTGCTATTTGTTTGATTGCCACCGCATGATATCTAAGGAAAACAATACAAAATTAGATAAACATTCCAAGTATAATGAGCTTAGACCTCTATCATAGGAATGGAGAAAGCTGCAGTTTTTCCACTACCAGTTTCTGCACAACCCAATAGATCCCTTCCACTAAGAGCAATTGGCATGGCTTGAGCCTGGATAGAAGTTGGCCTTGTGTATTCATGATAAGCAATATCCTTCATGATACTAGGGTGCAAGCACTGTAAATCAATGAGTCCATACTTTTGTCACTTATTTGACAGAATGACTAAAAATTGAATACAAGAAATATGGATCTGATTTATAAAATTAGCTACCATGTCTGAAAATGATTCTATTGGTGCAGGTGCAGGAAGAGACTCAGAAGCAACAGAAACATCAAGATTAAGCCGCAGTCGGACCTCTTCAATCTGCAAATGAGAAGCATGTAGTCTGTAGAATTCAGTAACTCAATAATTGCTGCTGTGATTAAAACTAATTGAGAAGAGGTAGAAATAGAACAATCAATAAAGCAATAAACAAAAATGAAGTTGAAAATTAATACAGAAACAAAGTAGGTGGTTGTACTTTAAATGAAGCAGCCAGTGATATGTGATAGCTTTTAAAAAGGTGGCTAGAGAGAGACAAACCCAGGGAACAAAAAGATGAAAAAAGGGAGGAAAACTCGTCAATAATGTTAAACATCAACAACCGCTCCGAAGAAAACATAAGATTGAAAGCCAACGTCGTTATTCGTAATACCCATTGTTGCATGGCATTTACTACCAGCACATTGTACCAGATCTTCAACCTAATTCCTACAGAACTATACGTCTGAACAATAAATTACCTAGTAAATCCTTGTGATTAAAATAGACAATTTAAAAAGAAACACAAAAAAAAAATTATCCTCATGATTAACGTAAACAATTTAGCTTCTTATGCATGCCACTTCAATTCTAGCAAAGTTTTCTCCACTGACAGGATGGAAACACTATATACCACTTTCCAACTCTTCGAACTACAAACGAACAGGAACTTTTTTGTTCAAAAATGATATTCATCTGAAAAAAGCATTTGTTGAAAGTTTCACGACCAAGAAAGGGCAAGTAAAGGAGAAAAGGAACGCAAGCCATTAAACTAAAAACGACCCGTGACCACAGAAATGAAACACGGGAAATCGAAAAAAACCTCAAAAACCCTAAACACAAGTTCAAATATACACATTTCTCCGAAATGATCGAAACTCAAAGCATTTAAGTGAAAGGAGGAACGAGAAAGAGTAATCGGCAAAACAACAGAAAATGAAACCTGCTCGGGCTTCATACGAGAAACGCGTTCAGACGGTTGCCAGTGAGGGAACACGGGGTCGGGGACGGAAAGAGTGCGGTTTAGAGGTGGAGCTCCGGAGCTCCGGCGAGAGGAATTGGAGAAGCTGGAGGAGGACGAAGGAGTAAGAGAGGCGTGGAAGTGAGAATTAGAGGAAAAGGCCAGCTTCTTGTGATCGTTAGTGTCTTGGGCGAGAGACGAGCTTCTGGTAGCAACACTAGTGGAGCTGGAGCTCCTGAGGTGAGGAGGAACATACGACATCGTCTTCCTTCCTTCGTTCCTTCTCTCACAATGGCAGGTTTTTCTTTCCTGTCAGGGAGAGCACAGCCCACAGATAGGGTAGTGATAGAAGCACAGACCAGATCATCAGATATTCCTGCCTTGCTTAGTTGAGTGAGCCTCGAGATGATGGCGACACACAACCTAGTGATACATCCCACATCTTTCGCTCTTTTTTTTTTTTTTACTTTCTCGTTTTTTTTTAACCGACAGTGGGCTTAGTTGGCCCTTTTAATGTTTAATTATGGGTCCATTAATCAAATTGTCCACTACTACGAGGTGATCAAGCAAAAACATAACGACGAAGAACTAGGTTGGGCACTTGTTTAAGCCCACTCACTTGCTAACAGGGCTCGATTGTATTTCGGATATTTTTATTTTGGTAAGATGTGTTTCGTATATTTACGCAAAAAGACATAATTTGTGTTTGTGTTGTAAAAAACAAATATTGTGTGTTAACAAAGGAATGCTAGATTCTCCATCCATTTAAAAATATATAACATTTTTAACTCAATCTTACATTTAATAAAGTAATTATTTATCTTTAAACTAATATTATTTATTATATTTATTCATATTTAATAAGTTATTTTATTCTAAAATAAATATAAAGTGATTTATTTAGTGAGAAAGTAACTTATATTTAAAAATATATATATAATAATTACACTTTAAAATATTAAAAATAACTTATATTTTTTAATGAGAAAGTATTATTAATTGGGATTTACTTATCCTAGCCATAAAAGTTTTGATTAATAAAAAATCTCAATATTTATTTAACTGGTTTTGCCCCATCAAAAACAAAAGATTTAAAAGATATATTTTAAAAATCAACCATATTATGTTAAAATGAAATTGAATTCTTTCTTCCCGATTTATCACAGAGGAAAAAAAATTGAAACCGATTACTATATCTTGTTTTTGAAGCAGAGAACCACAAAAAGCACACTCCGAGAAACCCAAAATGATGAGAGTATGGGAAGAAAACGTCAACGCCAGGGTGCAGTCAGGAATAGCAAATGACAGGGAAGCTTAGACAAATTCTAAAATAAGAAGGTAAGGCAAAGTCACCCCAAAAAAAAAATATATATATATATATATATATATAAATTTAACCATTAAAAAATAAGCATTCTGACGGGCCATTTTGTCCACTTAGTGACTCAGATAAATACGTTCTAGTCTGGTATTCCAATTCATGGCGGACGATATCAATAATTACTACATTACAGTGTATAGTAGTGTATGGGTTGCTTTCTACTTGCAAGTGGGGGACTGGTTCCCAGGCTCAGCACATGTGATGAGCATTAGGTGCTCCGTGATCGTCACCTCAACCTCAACAAGAAGAGTTTCACTAATTTAAAACAAGAAACTTTCATTTTGATGAAAAGCAAAGTCATTTTAAAATTGGTTTTTGGTTCCCCCAGTTCTGGAATATGCTTTCGCCAGTTCTCCCGTCCCTTCTTCTTGATCAGCCTCCTTTTGCTTCCACTATTGACTCTCCATTGAAGTCATGCCTTTCCCTCCCCACAAGAGACGCAATTTCCTCTGTCCCAAAATGAATACTTTTATCCTGTATATTCATTCTCCAATGGTTCGTTTAGATTTTCAAGGATAACAAAACCATTGGAATTCTCATCCAGCTCCTCAAAAGTGCTAGATTAATTTGATTAGGTGGAGGTTTCTTCATTTTCATGCTTCCAAGCTTTTCTCTCCCTCGTTGAGCGGCTAGTATCCTTCCTTCTTTTATGAAAATGGTGCCTTTTGGTGACGAGCAACCTGATGAGCATGAAAACCAATCCCAACGAGTGGAAGGTTCTGGTCCCTTAATTTTTTTTTTCTTTTGTATTTTTTTCTAGGTTTATAATTTCGTGCCTACTGTGAAAATTAGCCATCGCACGCGAGGAGCTATCATTTTCCTATACCGTCATTTTTTTCTTTTTAATTTCCTTCACATGACATGCCAAATTGCACCGTCAGGTGAAGATCACTTGGCACCAAATGTTAACTTATCTATTTCGTTACTTCCTTGTGATTTTACAAGTTTGTTTATTTTGATTGCAGTGAATGAGTTAGAAACTTTGATCGTTTTTATATTTAATTAGCAAAATATGGTAATAAGGAGGATTTGTTTTCGCTATCAAATAGCATCAGGGTTTGGATAGAGAGGAAGTCACGTCACCAGAGCTTGTTTTCAATTGAAACCCAACCCAAGCGCAGTATGGGTTAGTTAATGATATCGAATATTGTGCGATCTATTTTAAAAAGAAAAAATTGTCGTACTCCTCAACTTGCGTACGCCTTTGAATTTTGCTGGAATTGATCGCCAATGTTTTTTTTTTTTTTTGGTAGAAAGATCGCCAAATTTAAAGGGGAGAAAAAGATGTGAACTTGAATGGGCCAACCAAGGTTTGCCTAATTCTCTCAACCTCCTCCTTTATTGGATACGGTGGACATTTCCCTAATCCTATTTATGAGACAGACAGATTATTTATTTTGATTTTACTTGCAGGAAACCTCGTTAATTGTTGTGTTTATCACCATCATTTTGTCCCTATTAGCTATTTTGAAAGATTATTAAGTATTAGAGCATCTTATTTTTAAGTTGTATTTAATAGTAATAAAGTTAAAAATATATTAATTTTTTAAACATAATTAAAATGGTTAAAAGTTTTCTTTAATTTTAGTAAAAATATTGAAAGTAGTCCGTAAATAAAATCAAATGATGTAGAACCATTTGGACTCTGATAACTGACGCCACTAAATCTCATATTTAGTTTGCCGCTTGAGCAAGTCCAAGTGACCAAGCCACCCGCGAAATTATTGGTTTGAAAAATTGGCATCGTTGAGGGGGGCGATGAACGGATGGCAAGTGATTTGTTGAAATCTCTCGTTAACCTCACAAGGCACGCACGTTGCTAGCGCTTTTCACCAAAATGCAGCGCCTGACTTTGCAGTCAAAGTATGCTCATCACCCTCCCACGCAAGCCATCGATGGTGGAAGATCAATCAAACACCCTCTTCATTCAAGAGGATAAAACCGCACGTCGTTCTAACACCCAAAAAAAAAAAAAGAAAAAAAAGGAAAACTAATAATTAATCAAAATCAACAAGTTATTTTTTTCAATCATATCTATAAGTCATTTTTAACATATTTTATGAAAATAAAAAAACTTTAAACTTCATCAATTCTGTTTAAAAATTCAATAAGTTTTTAACTTTAATCTTATTAAACACACACACTAAAAATAAAAATATTTTACCATTTAATATAATTCACAACATTTAATAAAGGCAAAAAAGAATAAAAATGAATGTAAAAATTATAGAGTGCCCTATTATAGCCAAAATAAATGCTCCCTTTATAAGTTTTGTTTTATTCAAAATATAGAATATTCGATAAGTTTTATATATATATTTTTTGTTATATCCTTACTCAATTATATTCCACTCAAATAATTAATTAAACGATTTTGAACAAATCAAACATTACATTCATTACACTAAATTATACAGTTAGAAACATGCAAATTTTTTTAAAAAAATTAAATTTGTAGCTAACTTTTTAAAAAATATAAATTAATTAACAATAATTTATATTGTAATTGAAAGTCAAAAGACGGTAAAAGGTAAGTTTCATCCACTTTGATCGAGCCTTTGCTGTGAATTTCTTAACTGTTTAATTAAAGCAAACTGGTACCTCGTTAAAAAAAAAAAAAAAAGAAACTAGTATTGGAGCCCCGTGTGTGTGTGTTGAGCGCACGGAAGAGCAGGGGCGGATCCAGCTCGGCATACATGATGGAAATTTCAAATGATATAAACCATGGGAGGCTAGCTAGAATCAATTTTGGTAATTTTCATGAAGAGAGGGTGCTCGTGCTTTCCCTGGATCTGTCCCTTCGCAATAGACAAAGGAGACAAACTTTGAGTTATACGAAGCTATCAATTTAAACAATTTAACGACGTGAGGGGATATAATTCAGGGCTTTTCTTGCTGGGGCAAAAGAAATTCACAAGTTGAAAAGTCACATGTCAGCAGCGTTTCGTCAACCGGCGGTTGTGGGTGTGAAGCGCTGTGAGAGAAAGTGGGACATGAATGAGTTTGGTGAGCCGTTCAGATTGTCCTTTCTTGCAGCTGCGGGGACAAGTTGTCTCCCTCTCTCTCTCCTTTTTTGCTTATTCTTTCCAGTGAAATTTTTGTGAGGGAGCGGCCAAACCAACCTGCAAGTACATCAACAAAAATACATGTACTCACAGTAGATATCAGCTCAGTTAAACAATTGCCTGGTCCTTGATATAAAAACAACTTATCAAATTCGATGAAGCATTAATAAGTTATCTTCAAAAAGTTCACATGTCCAGTTTATTCATGCCACAAAAGTAAAGTTAATAATTTTAATTAAGGGTAATTTGATAATTTTATAGAAATCTTTGAAGAATCGATACGTTTAACCAATTTTAATCACAATTCTTAATCCAAGTGATTTGATTAAATTTTTCTTATAAAAAGAATCAAATGAAGTAATGGCTGTAGAAAAAAGACCTTGCCCCTCAAACCACCAGCTGTCTGGACCACCTAATTAAGGAATTGTTTCGTAGTCAATTTTAAGATTTAGAAATGCAACAGCATTAAAACTCGGTAGCATAGCTCATCCTTTGAAAGTATACAGTCCAAATTAGTTTGATCCTCGTTAAAAAATTTTTAGGGGGCTTTTGGAATGATAAATTTAGATTTAAAATATTTACATTTTAAATCTTACATTTAACATTTATGTATTTAATATGAACAATTTAAAAATACAGAATACAAAATAAAATATTTCATTCATTTAAAATTATAAGACAAATTTTATGTATCAGTAAACCTTATTAAATATACTTAATAATCTTATTTTTTAAAAAATAAAAAGATAAAAATTTTAAAAATATCCGCTATTTAATATATTGAAAAGATAAGAGATAAAAATAAATTATAGAAAGGAAAAAGGTAATATTAAAATCAATATATTTAATAAAATTTTAATTTTTTTAAAGTGTTTTATATTTTGCAATGAACAAATTTCTTCAAAAATACCTTATAATTTAAAATAAAAAAAGTAAAATATTTTATAAGA